GGAAAAAAAAAAAAAAAAAAAAAAAAAAAGATAGAAAGAAAGAAAAAATCGCACCTTATAATGCCGCTTTTCCCGCGAATGGCCGTGCAGCTTTAGCGTGCGAGTTGTGTTCTGGCACCCGGGTTTTGTGCAGTGGTTAAGACAAAATGTTGTCTATTGATGCCAACCAGCAATGGCTAAATTAATCCCCCACCTTTTTTTATAATTTTTTTTTTCCCCTGTAAAAATTGCCAGTTGTTTTGTTGCCATCCACCCTGGAAAGAGCCGCGTCGTGATGCGATGAAACTCTGTAGCCGTTGTGACTCAGAATTCTAAGTTATTTTTCAAATGGAGGTTCGTCTTAAAGAAAATGACGCCGCCTAATGAAGGCTGCCGTAATCGCCGGTCGGTATAGCAACGCCTGGGGAAATTGCTCTGCCCCTGTAAGGTGTCACTGCCGGGCGCAGCGGAGGTGATGCTCCCAGACGCGCTCTTCCTCCTCCCGCGTTACCTGCAGCCACTAGCCAGAGCTGTAATTAGCCTCGCTAATTTTCCCTTCTCTCATTTGTCTTCCTACTAAAAAGCACTTGTCATTAATCACGGGTTTTATGTTATTTTAATGGTGTTTAATTTTGAATGCTCGGGTTACTGCATGACGTTGCATCCTCCTGGTGTAATTTGGTGGCGGTTCTCCGGCGCCCGCGTTTCCAGGAGCCAGCGGGGCAGCAGGCACGGAGAGCTGGCGGTGACCGTCCTCGCACGGGCTAGCGCGTGTGACTTGGGAGGTTTTGCAGGCAAAACACCGCAACAAACCGCGCTTCCCTTGCCAAATGGCATCTCGACTTTAAAAACCTGCTCGTTAAACTCTTTGGCTTATGTTCTCCAGAAGCAGCTGCGCTCGGCAGTTGGGGAGGGGGGTAGGTGCTAAGTACATTTGGCCTGCGCAAACATCTCGTCGTCGTGAGATGAGCTGGGACTGGCTCTTCTGCCGTGCTGGGAGCGGTGCGGCGTTAGGAGGAGAAGGCACGTGTGCGTGGAAGTTATTTGGTGCTTGCCACAAACCGAACCCCTCCGCTCGTTTCCACCCGTTTCTGTGGCGTCGCACGCCCTTCCCAAGAGGTTACTGAATCAGGGAAACGTGTGAACTAAAAAAAGAGAACTCCAAATTGCCAGGCTGCAGGCTGGCGTTTGTTTTTCCATACATGGATTTTTCTCAAAATAACGCGGTGTCACCAGGAGATGGGCCCGTGTCCTTATCTCATAACTGGGCTCCACTTCACTCACGCTCCCCTCATCCCCAGCTGTAAGGGGTGCTTGCAGCGGTGAGAACAAACACGCGGTTCCTTCCTCCGCCTGAAGTCATACTCAGCCAGCACTGCTTTGCCGTGAGGGGTGCCTGGTGGCTCTGACCCCCGGGCTTCCCGTCACGGGGACCCACGTGCACCCGTCTTTGCAGAAGGGCTGCACGCGGCTCGGCAGAGCCGTCTGCCCCGTCGCCCAGCTCGTGGCAGAGCCACGGACCCAGCTGCCGGTCCGTCAGGACCACAGGTCCTTGCCTCTACCCCTTCGCTTTGATAAGGCATTTGAGAAGTTGTCACGCTCCCTTAAAAACACATACCTTGTTCCTCCACCGAGTTCCTCTTGGTGTAGATGCTCACTGAGCTCCCACTCCTCCTCCCCCTCCTAGCCTGCCCTGTGGTTTACTGTGTACATTACAGGCTCTTTTACAGAAAGCAACCAACTATAAAAGGTACCAGGATGCCGTCCAAGTCCTCCTCCCTGCCCTCCGCCTAGGGCAGCGGTCGCAGCCGCCCTGCCGCGCTCTGCACCCGGCGGACGCCATGTGAGTCCCCCCGGCAGCCGATGCCAGTGTTGCTGGTGCCGGGACCTGGGCGAGCGTCGTTCCCCGCACAGATTCCGCTTGTTCTGCTGCGCTCGTCCCAGGCGTGCAAAGCCTTTCTCCAATCTTAAAGAGGTTTCCTACCTGCCGCTCTGTGGCGGCGAGGCTTAAATGAGTGTGATGTGTCGGAGAAAGCCGCTAAAGCAGGACATGTTGTTCTTTTGTTCCGGCAGAGATGGGATCCCACCGTACAGACTCCGAAAGCAGCATCGCAGAGAGATGCAAGAAAGTGCCAAAGCAAATGGACGTGTGCCACTACCTCACATTCCTGTAAGTAGCGCTGTCTCCTTCCCCAGAGGTAAATACGCAAAATACGTGAGATTTCTAGCGTGTAGTTGCTCTGCTTGCTCCCCTTAGCGCTGTATCCATTTGGGGATGTTTTCCGATGGAAATACACCATGATAAGAAAGGGCTTGGTAGCCTTCTGCCAAACTCAGCATCCAGGGCTGCCCAAAACACGTAATTTTTCTTAACTGTTCAGTCAGTAGCCGATTGTTTCTCCTGGATGAGAGTGAAAGCACTGGCTGGTATTTACCCACAAGCAGGTTACGTGCCCTTGGGTGAGCTGGAGGTGTTTGTGGAAGGTGTAGGAGGCCACTGGACATGAAGGCTGATGTAGCTCTCAGCCAAGGTCAGCTGGGGCGAAATGCAACTGTCCTGAGCGGTATTTCTGCTCTGGGCAGCCAAAGGGAGCTGTAACCTGTTCTTGAGGACTCGGCAAAGCCCACCTGGGGGTTCAAGGCAGGAGAGCAAAGGCGGTGCAGGTGTTAAGTATTTCATTCGTGTGATACTGTCTCCCTGGTTGCTCCAGGTAAGCAAACAGCTTTTGGAAGATGAGCGTACCTGCTAGGGCTCTGCAGCACCATCTGCAGCTCTGCTTATTATTATTTTCTTTCTGTGAGAAGTTACAGGTGACATTTAATATCTAGCAGGGAATAAAGGTGCTTCTTTCCCCTTTGGACAGCTGGACTCCAGCACAAATCAGATGGGGGGGAAGCCTCCATCTGCTTTTTCCAGAAGTGCCTTCAAACTTGACGCAGCTGTTCTCATCCTGCCTGCTCAAAGCAGCACAATACCAGCAGAAATACACCCTTGTTTTAATCTGATTTAAAAAAAAAAAAAAAAGAAGAAACCAAAACCACCACTCTTTGTTTTGTCTTTTAAATTAGATTATTTTCCTTAGATTTAAGAGGGTCTCCTGTGCTTTGATCACTGGGTTGACAATAAAAGCCCTGGCTGCGGATGCTCACTAGCCATCCTTGCTCAGTCACCTCTCTTTTCACACAGTTGCTTTCCCAGTGTGGTTGCTGTTGAAAAGGCTGGCTGGGTGCCTTTTTATTTCACTTGATGCCGTTCTTACTGTAAGCATGGCTTTTGTTAGAGTTGAAGTTTGAAAGCTTGGCCTTTATTTTTTTGTTGTTGTTGTTGTTGCTGTTCCCCAACAGTGGGAACTACCAAGCGAATATTCTCCAACTTCAAAGCTTGTCAGTGGCTTTACCTTTTGGATGAAAATAATAGTGGCTTTCTGTCGATCGTATGCACTGGCAATGCCTCGGTGAACTGCAGGTTATAAACTCGGAGTATGGAGCATTAAATATGTATAGTGAGCTGTGCTTTAATGAACTTCCATCTGCCAAACATTTCTTTTGTTGAACTGAGTAAGTGTCATGCCAGCAGCAGTTCCTTGCAGGCTAATTAGTTTTACTTAGCATTAAATTTTATCGACCTTTTTGGAAACTAGTTAAAAAAGGGAGGGAAAAAACAAGGTTTAAATTGGCCACCTGCTGCTTATAAATTTTTATGTTATCCTGCTTATCTACACGGTCTTTTAGAATTACATATTCCTCCTAAACTACACACAGACGCTTCACAAGGATTTTTTTGTGAAACATCCACTGTTCCCATTAGGTTCTGCACTGTAATTTTAAGTCCCGGGGAAAAAGGCATCTTGACGCATATTTATATGGGAGCGGAGGACTGAGAAGTCGAGTTAGTTCTAGTCTTTCTCCAGGGAATAAAAGTTTAGTTCAGACACTCTGGCACCTTCTGCCAGCCAATTACTGACACAGAATTGGCATCGACTTCAGAGAGGCACTGCTCTGCCCTCGCTTATCAATCAGCCAAGAAAGGAGAAGGTAATTAGACAATATGTTTTGACAACACCAGTGTGAAATGTTATAAAGTTAGTCTTTTAAAATCACCTCTAACTGCACGCTTATTGAATTAAACCTCCCCAATTAGCAAGGAGCCACGCAAATGTTTCTTCAAGTGCTACTTTCCGAAGCCGGCGGTTAGGCTATCTTGCAGCCCGTAGCTAGAGCAGTCTCCCAGCTGCCCGGACCTGGCGGTTAGCGTTGCTTTTAAACATGTAGCAATGACTAAATTGCAGCCTTTGAGTGAAGGTCTTTATGGACTCACAGCTAACGGGTGTAGCCAGAGTCCGTGCTGATAGAGCTTGCAGAATGCATGGCATGTTTTCCTAATGATAGTAGAGAACCTCCTACTTCCGAAAAGTCGTTTCAGAAGTCCTTTGGAGACCTTACTGTTCCCTTACAAATGAGTTATGGGGCTATTATGCAAAATTTTGAAAGAACTTAACATTGCTTTTCATAGCAGCACTTTTAGTTAGGTCCAGAAGCTATAAACTGTAGTGATTATATGTTCATAGGAGACCGCCCGCTAGTTTCCACAGCTGTGCTGCCTCCGAATAACGAAGGCGTGTGCTGGTTGTGTAGGATGCCCTGCTATGCAGCAGGAGATCTTGGTGCGTGGATGGCTGTGTTCTGCATGTTCCCCACTTACAAACTCACCAGTGCTTGGTAAGTTTGGAGAAAGTTGTGTTTTGTGAAATGGCACTCTGCCCAGGAATGCTGTGGGTGAAGGTCTCTAGCAAGCAACGAGCCCTTCATTTTGTGCCTCTCGCAGGAACCCATTTTGCGGCGGGTGAGTGTTGCTTTTCATGTGGTTTTCCACCTCTCTCTCGGATTTGAGGAGAGTCTTGGAGCACCAAGGAAGGAAAGAGAAAGCAGGTTCCCAGAGGAAGGGTGAAAGCCCGGAGAATGCAAGGCCGTACCTGTGCTATCGCACAGTATTTAGCCTGGCCCTGGCATTCATCCGTTCCCAGGAGAGGATGGGAGATGCTCCGTTTTCCCAACAAATTCAGAAAAATCCAACCTCAAGCATTAAGACTTGGGATTCCCTTTTTGTTTGTTTGTTTAACTGCATAAAGAGGCCATTTTGTGATGCTCTTGCTGTAGTTTGATCATCGGGTCGGAGCTCCCCTGTCCTGCCCCGCAGCCGAGGAAGCTGCAGCTCTTTACACTATGGACACGAGAAGAAAAAAAGTAAAAGTGGCAGCAGAGTGGGTCAGGCTGATTGCTGAACTTTCCCAGAAGGATCTCCTCTGTGCAGAGGTGGCTTCCATAGTGTTCTTGAGTGGAACAGAAGATTTTGAGTGACCACTCTGCAATGCTGTAAGAGTGAGGAGTGTACAGGAGGAGCCCTGGTCCCGTGCTGCCTGGGTAACTACAGCTAAATGAGCTTTCTGCTCCTGCAAGTTGGGAACCTGCTCAGAATTCCCATCAGCTGTTTTATGCCTTTTTCCTCAAACTCCTTGCAGCAGCGGGACTCTGTGCTAATCCCTGAATGCTGCTAGAGTGGATGCTGAAATGCAGTTATCCATGAGCTCTGCCACAATTGTTTCTGGTATGGAAACACCATTTATCCTTTAAAAACATATCTCACAGTGGAACGCATTATTAATCTGGGAAATGTGGACGTTCAGAAGTTCTTTTCTCTTTGGTTTTCTAGCCTGCCATCTTCATTTCACCTCCAGGACTGACCTTTGATCTAACATCAGCCACTCAAGCATCATGGAGGCATCAAACCTCCTGTAGAAGAGGGAGATTTAGCAACACCAGCCCAGTCAGATCTGTCAGAAACGGTTCAGCCCAGCCCGTGTATCCCTGGGGCTGGTTAGAGACTTCTACCCAGTGATAACATTGGAAAACTTGCTATTTCATCTCAGAGCAATTGAGGTTTATTCTTCCCAAGGGAAACCCGCAAGCCGCAGTGAGATTATTCACTTTCAGCCTTTTCATGTATACATCATAGTTAAACCACATACTTAGGATGCCGGTGTGTTCTGATGTGCAACTTGATCTTCAAACCTCAGTTTCTCAGGGAAGGTGAAATCCATCAAAACTCAAGACCTGCATCTTCAAGCAAAACCCAGGCAACTCCCTCTCTATTGGCTCTTAGAAAAGGAGGAGAAAATGTTACAGCAGGTGCTAAAAGGAACTGCTGGAGAGCTTGTGTGTCTCGCATGTTCTTAACAGGCTGCTTCTTCCCAAAGGTACCAGAGCTTTGGACACTTTACAAGTCAAAGACAGAGGACAGTGTTCTGGTGATAGATACCCCAAGAAATCCTTCCTCACAGCTGTCATTAGGAAAGATTGCTCCACCCAGACCAGTTCAAGCAATTTCTTTCTTGCCAACCCATCTGGCACTCAGCCTCCCGTCCGTTGTTCTCTGCAACTTCCCCAACTCGTCATGGTTTGATTCTGGACAGACCTGTCTGAACTAGTGGCATTAAATAAAAGTAGATAGATAATTAAATAAAACATTAGCTAAAACAGCTGTAGATAAAACAATTCTTTAAAATTAAGGGCTGAATTGTTGACCCAGAATGGCCAGAGGTCTCATTCTGGTCCAGACTGGAGGGCTGGATCCTCCAAAACCAGCCAGCTCTTGGAGAGTGCTCCACTCTTTACTTGGAACAAAAGCATTCAGAGCCCTTCCGACTTCAGAACAATAAACATCTTCTTTACGACTCGCTTGGCACGGCCCTGTATGCCCACAGAAAGCCAGAGGCACGTACAAAATCCTGAAGCCCTGAAGGATCCTCCTTGGGCACAGGCTCAGCCTGGCTGGTTTTTGATGGAGCATGTCTCCCTTCCAAAGTCAGACCCATCATTTGAGAAAAGTTTCAAACACTTTGTTGTGTTGAGCCTTTTGAACCGGGTCAATGCAGTCCATGGTTGCTGTCCAGGGAGGCAGAGCGAGCCCTCAGCAGTTACCCGTATTGTTTCAGGACAAGGAATTTGCCATTCGTTCTTCTGCGATACTGTTAGTTTTGGGGAATTCTGTGTAGCTCATCCTTTGAGCTAGGAATAAAGTCAGACCCATGGCAACGTTCAGAGCATCATCGTGCTTGCCAGCTTTCGGCGAGTCACCGTTACAGGTACCTGCCAGGACAACGTAGGGCACGTGCAGCCAGTATCTGTGGCGTGAAGTGAGGTTTATTTTGGCTGCACTGAACTTGGATGGTCAGAAAGACCCTTGCAGAGATGGCTTCACAGAGGGCACTGCATCTTGCACCCTTGAACGGGCTGCTGAGGACCTCTGCAAGCTGTTGTGCTGAGTGGAGCGGCCCAAGGACGGGGCAGTGGGTTTTGCAGATGCAGCAGTTTATCAAAGAGACAGGAAGATGAGTTCATCCTAAAGATTCTTGGGTTCGATTATTTTCATTTCTGTAGTTGAGCTTCAATCACCTCCAGACTTTGAGAGACTGTGGTTAAACAAGCTGAATTATTAGTTGTAAAAGACCAAAATCATCCTATCTCCAGTTCCCTGGATACAGCAGTGGCCCTGAATGTCTTCAGATCATCATTAGAGATGGAGCTGTGGTCCTTAGGCGTTGCTGGGCCTGGAGAGAACCACCTTACTTTGACAGGACTTGAACATGCAGGTTAGCAAACTTCAACCTTTGCACCTGCTGCTTCTGGGGGCTTGGGAGGGACTTTGGTTTGGGATCCTGCATTGCATCAAAGGCTATGAAAATAAAGGTTCTGCTTTGCTATGGAAGCCACTGCGGTAGCTTCAATGGGGAGACCCAAAAGTGTAACTGCTGCGTGCCGAGCTGCCTCTCATTAGGCTCATTAAGTTTCTAACGGATCAGGGCCTGGTGCTGCCATCATATAAACAACCGCAGGGAGAGTTGGCATGTCTGAGGTGGTAGGAGGGAGTGAACACATCATCCGGCGGGTTGCGACTTGTCGGGCGAGGGAGAGATTTCCCTCTTCTGGAATCGCTGGTGCTGCCTCATGGGATGGATGGTGGTGGTCATGCGTTTGGGGTTTCTGATGAAAGCAGACTCCCTTAGCCAGAAGTGCTCCCCTGGGCTATGCAGGTGGAATGGGGAAACATCACTTGGATCCTGCAAGCTCCCCAGGGAGGAACAGGGCAAGCTCTGCCACATCTTCCCCCATGATGGAGCACTTCTGGGGCCCATTTCTGGAGAGCACAAGGTCCAGATGGTGGGACGAAGCATGCCACTTTGGCCCTTGTGCCAATATTTCAAGACTAAACATCATTTTTGTTGATGAAAATTTTTTTCTGCTCTGTTTCTTTTTAATATAGGCCATTGATTTGCAGGGCTGGAGGTCCTGGTGGCAGCAAAGACTGTGTCATCCCAGGGTGGGAGCCACCTGGTAGCTCACACGTACCGTGTCCTCTCCAGCGGTTGCATCCCTGGATGAAGGGGATGGTGGTTTGGGGCTGCTCCCGGCCCGGATGGGTCAGTCCTGCCTGGGACAGCTTCAGGTGGAGCTGTCAGTCCCTCTGCTTGTCACGGAAAGCCGAGTGCTAGAGCAGGCAGTCCTTTTGGCTGCGAAGCCGCATCGTGTCCGCAGGCATCCCCAGGGACGCTGCCGCCCAGCACCGTACGGCGCGGAGGAGAAGGCGACCGCAAGTGAGCACTGGAGTTGAGATTTGCTGGCTGGGTCTTGCTCTCGGCAAAGAAAACAAGCGGCGCTTTAACCGAGACCTCTGCAGCCCAACTTGGGTGTCATAAAAGATGTCTTCAGCTTCTCGGTGCCGTCAGTAGCATGCCTCTATTTTTCTTCCCCTGCCTTCCACTCAGCAGCTGACAGAGAAAAACCGATATGATTTGCATACTTTTGTCAGGTTTTGAGGCAAAGCATTATTTTAGTCTTCTGCATTGATCTTTTGGCTGGTCTGGAGTAAACTCAGGTGGTCTCTCATGCTCCTTTAAAGATTTCAAGCTTGATGTCTGCCTCTGGTACTGTATTTGTTCTTTTGCTATGAATTTTCTCATGTCTTCACATTTAATTTTATCGCTGGTCCCATAGAATGTATATTTCTCTCATGTTGGTATTGAAATATTTGAATGCAGGTTTTGATACTGTTGAATTTTCCATATGTTTTTCCTCCAAATCAAATTTTTATCTCTGTTGTGTCATTTTGTTTTGACTACTATTTTAAAAAATAATGCAGAAGGGATAAAAATGAGGGGAAAAATACAGTGGCTGATAGCTTCATACTTCACTACATGAACTTCTTATCCCAGAGCTCAGGAATTTAGGGACAAAGTAACTCAGCATAAGGAACCAAGAATGCCCTTGAACTTCCATAAATATTCATTTGTTCACCCAAAGCAAGTAGAAAAATGTGATCTCTGCACTTGTAAGGTTGCTGTATTGATGAAGCAAGCAGGAGATCGTTGCACGGCTCTCAAGAGCTGAGATGCAATCCTGCAGGATCTTCTGGTAAGAGAGGATGCTTTGTGGGAATCATGGCCTTTTGTGGCCGGGCTGGGTTGTAACAGAAGATGGAGTGAAGTAAGATGTCTTGGAAGTGACAGGATTTCCACTCCTTTCTGTGGCTATGGGCTAGATTTGCAGAGATTGACCGGCACACGCTGATCCACCTAGGCTAAGCTGAGTAAGTGCGCGTAAGAGTCCTCCTTTCTGTCAAGGTGAAAGCATCACTACTGTAAGCATGACTTTTGAGAGGTTTGTCTGTACGTCCTTTTCCCACCCTTTGAGACCAGCGTGTATTCCTGTTGACCATGTGTACATTGAGAGAAAAGCAAGCACATCCATCCCAAAGCGGAGTTTGGTGCCAAAAAGGGCTTGTTGAATTGTGGCTCCAGAAAACCTTTCCCTTACGTGGAGCGATGTGTGGAGCTGGTGCCAGCCAGGGAGCTCGTGGTGACGGTGGCTCAGCTTCCAGCCCCTCGGTCCTATGCGTCAGCCAGCCCATCCTCCCTCAATCCCCACCGGAACGACTGGCATTTCCAGTTATCGAAGCCTCCAAAATAAACGTGTGATTTTTTTTCTGCATCTTTTGCTAACCTCCGGTGTGTTTTTCCTCCAGCGTACATACCGAATGCCAAAGGATATCCACGTCGAACCAGAGAAGTTTGCTGCAGAACTGATCAATCGTTTGGAGGAAGTACAAAAGGAACGTGAAGCAGAGGAGAAATTAGAGGAGCGCCTTAAACGCGTTCGAGCGGTTAGTAACCTTCTTACGCCCTCCACCAGCCCGGGAGCCTGTCTGCGTGCTCTACACCACAGGGAGCTTTCACCTGCTGTAGAAGCAAGCGGGGTGACCACTTCCCTGCGCCAGCAGCCATGGTCATCGCTTGCACGGGGGCTCCTGGAGGCTCCCTGTGCCCCAGGAGCTTCCACAGTGCTGTTCCCCCATCCATGCAGGGCTCTGTGAGCTTCAGCTCTCCCTTCCTGCTGTAAGATACCAGCTATGGCACAGCAGCACCTACTTCTGCCACCAGTTAGGGGCTGTGGGTGCTCTCCATCATCATCTTTGGCACCCTCGCTCTCCTGACTTTGTGAGCACTCCCTTCCAAGCAAGGATGGGGACTGTGTAACAGGGGTTCACCTGCCCCTGTGGGGTCTTGTGTGATCCCTATTTCCCCCACAAATAGTAACCAGATGGCAGGTGATGTTATGCTTGGAGGTGTTTGTGTTTGCTACCAGGCTGTTTCTACCACAACCAAAAGGGTTCTGCCCATCAGTGCCTAGCACAGCGCTAGGAAATTTGCAACTGATCAGGTGTAGCATCCAAAAACTCTCTCCTGGCCAGAGAAACACACTGTGACTCCACGTGGATGGCTGGGGAAACCCAGCCCATGGCACCGCATGCTGCGAGCCCTGGTACCGCTGGGGCCCTTCAGAGCTTGAGGACTTGGTAGATGAACCAAGGGAAGCGTGTAAGGCCTTTAGCTCCACAACAAGCTCCAAAAGGGAGAGAATGAGGTATTGGTCGTCTAGTATTGCCTGTGTGAGACACCCTGTTCAGCAGTATTCACACCGTATTTTTTCTTCTGAGATACTGCATCTCACAGCTACCTGTTCATTTTGTGCTGGGGATACAGGAGGGTTTTCAGAGGACACCACAGTGTTACTGAAGGTCACTAATGTCAGTGTAACTACATCCCTGTGTGAAGAAATTGTGAGTCTCTGCAGTTAATAGCTGCCGTGGCCCTGAGGCCAAGGCTCTGTGCTTAGTAACCCGCGGCTCCCCTCGCAGCAGAGGTGTTGGTGCCTGTCTTGGCTAGCTCTGTGTTTCGGAGAAGCTGAACCTCTGGGGCTCGAGGGCAGACCCTTCAGCCCCATTACAGTGTTTTTAAATATTCATCAGTGTGTTTAAGTGTTCACCTTTAGACAGAAAAAGAGCTGTAGGTTGTACTATTTGCTTTAAATGACATCTGTATTTCAAACGTGGAGAAGCGAGGAAGTGGAGGGCTCGGTAAGCTTCCTTCCAACTCCAAGTGATGTCCAGCAAACTCCCTGCACATCTGCGTCCCGCATCCAGCCCGAAAAGGCCAGTGAGGAGCTATTTTGTGATTAGATTCCTGTTCTTCTGGAATTGGTCCATTTTCCTCTCTGGTACCTATTGCTTTCTAGGCAAGGCCAATGAAACCAGCAGCACTTTCTGCTAACACAGTCCTAGAGCACTCTTCCTCCTTCTCTTCCTCTCCTTCCTGTGGCTCCGTGGCCACCCCCACCTGTACCAGACTACATTATCCCAGCCCTCTGCTTCCTTGAAGAAGCTGCCAGTAGCAATACCATAAAATCAGCAAATACCTATGTGCCAGAGAATAAATTTAAGTCTGTTTAAACACATTTTTGTGTGACTTAAATCTATTTTTAAGCCCAGGACTCCCACTAATGCTATATATTAAACCTTTTTGCTGTCTCCAGAATGTATTTCATTGACTAGCTGGCATCTGGCATTAGCCGTTCAAGAAGAACTCAGGGTAAGCAATTGTAGCTTTTTTAGGTCAGCACTTAAGGTGCAGGAGCTGCTGGTATCAGCAAGATGAGAGCTTGAATCCTGATAGATCACAGGGTTTTTTTCTATGACCTGAGCACCAGGACAACAGGGTAACCTCCTACCAGGTCTGCATGGCTCACTGAACAGCAGCACAGGGAAAACCACGAGTGTTAGTCACACTAGGCAGTTATCAGCTTAGCAGAGAAGCTGGAAATATTTTGCAGAAGCTAGGAAAAAAGAATTTTTCTCCCCCATACTGAGCTGCCTGCAGGTTCCCTTTCAAAGCCACATCATACAGTAACATCACGAAGAGGCATCTGATTTAAAGCCAAATGCCCCTTACTGAAAAGACTGTAAGATTTCTGTTTTTTTTTAAAAAAAGCAAACTCTGAATTCATTAATTATTCTGAGCAATGTGGGAGAGGATTAGAGGACACGCGTGTTCCCTTATTACTTTTTGAGCCACTTCAGCCTTGTGTCCATGCGTGGAAGCTGCAGTATCACATCATACTTCTGATACTTACTCCGATCTTTGTCTGAACTGAGCAAATTGAGAATAAGCCAGGAGGAGCAAAGCCACTGCTGAGGTTCTCGCTGTTTGAATATAAAGCATTGCCTAACTAGAGAGGGAAGTCATTTGCGTGATGATCAAAAACGTGCTCGTGGTTAGGTGAGCTCTTTTGCCCTACCGACCAGCGGCAGCCTGATGGGTGGGACTGGGAGAAGGCAGAGGAGGAGGTATCGCTTGCCCATACCTCATCGGTCCAGATCTCAGCCTCCTAATTCAAAGGGAAGGCCACCCCCAGCCTTGCTGGGGCGTAAATATAGCTCAGCAGACAGTCAGCAAAGTTGAAGCCTGCATCTCTCTTAACTGCTGCTGCTTGTGGTGGGAGCGGATGGACGAGCTTTCTGACAATATTATGTCAACAAAGCACCATCTAGTGGTTATGGCAC